TCATTTTTGTTTTTGTTTTTCTTAACAGAAGTCAGTTGCCCACCCGGCAAGATGAAGATTGTATTTGTAGAACCTGCCATCTTCCTTAGTGCGTTTGCCATGACCCTGACCACGCCACTGACAACACAGTACGTTTATAGGAGAATCTGGGAAGAAACCGGCAACTACAGTTTCTCATCTGATAGCAATATTTCTGAGTGTGAAAAAAACAAAAGCAGCCCAATTTTTGCCTTCCAGGAGGTAAGACTTTAAATTACCCCTAAAATGTAATTGAAAAGGAATGTATAACGGGTTTTAAAAAATAATAATAAAATAAAATACAGGGTCTCATTATATTTCCCCAGTCTGGCCTTGAACTCCTGGCCTCAAGCAATCCTCCTGCCTCGGCCTCCCAAAATGCTGAGATTATAGGTGTGAGCCTCCACAGTGGCCTAAATTGAAAGAGGGCACTGCACTCACCATACCTTGGTCTCTCAAGGGTGGCCATCAAAGTCCTAAATCCCACACCAAATGGCCTTTACTCAGTTCTTATCCCATTTAAAGTTTCCTGACACCTTTCATCTGCCTCTTCTTAAAACACCTCCTCCTTTTGTGACACTAGCTCTTCTTTCGGAAATTCCAGCCCAAATGTCATCTGCTCTTGGCTGTCTCCTTTCTCTGTCCAAAAAAAAAGTCTGAAAATTGAAAGACTACCTGGAATGAGCTACTTGGTGGACCGGGCGGGTAAAACCAGGTGTCTCTGCCCCTCCTTGTTCCTCTCACTCTTTATCCTAGCCCCTTGACTGCATCTGCATGTCCCTGCTGTCAGGGACTCTAGAAGGTGTCCTGTCGCTGAAGACTGCGGGCCAGCATCTGTCACGGGGTGGGAGAACATTTGTCATTTGGTGTCACATCAGTCTGGACTCCCAGGTGTTGAGGGGCAGCTGTGTGGGGACATCTGTGGCAGGGAGGACTCACTGTTGTTCTCAGGACACTGCAAATGTTGAGGCAGATATTAGGGAACTTCCTTCCTCCCTCTCCCTCCTCCTACCCCAGTTTTAAAATTTAAAACAGGAGGTACAGTCACCATCCTCCGGGCCCCTTAGGCAGCTTTGACACAAGTCTGCCATGTCTAAATGCAAAGTGATAGTATCCTGATTTGGAATTGTTTTTTCCTACAACGCCTCATAAATAAGCCTCATAAATAAAACTTCTGAGTAGCCTCGAAGACATCAAGGTTCTGGCATAGAGGAAAGTCATCCAAAGAGAAGGGCCAAGGTCTCACCTAGTAGTTTTATCTCCTTCCAAGAATGTCTCCTGTTATGTGCCATTCCCAGCAGAGAGAAGGTTCTATCTAGAGGCTCATCCATTTCTTTAAGTGTTATTCACGCAATAGACAAGTGTTTATCACACACTGTGCTGTGGTGACAAAGATAAGCGGCACATGGCCCTGAACCCAAGGAGTCCACCAGTCTCTCTAGGCTGAGAAAAATATACATCAACAGAATGGCAGTTAATACATTCTCTTAGTTTTACAGGCAGGGGTCCTAAGTCAGGGACCCCAGGATTGAAATCCTCTTCAGATTTCAAGTCTCGGGATGTTTTTTAATATACATACTTGGATCCCATTGGAAGACACTAACGCAGTGTCTTTCAACCTTGACTGGATGTTGGGATCACCAAAGAGTTGCTGTTTTTTGTTTTGTTTTGTTTTGTTTTGAGTTGGAGTCTCACTCTGTCACCCAGACTGGAGTGCAGTGGCCGCTCCTGGGCAACGCAGCCTCGACCTGCTGGGTTCCCACAATCCTTCTGCCTCAGCCTTCCAAGTAGCTGGAATTACAGGCATGCGCTACCACGCCCGGCTGATTTTTTGATTTATTGTAGAGATGAGGTCTCGCTGCCCAGGCGGGTCTTGAACCCGCAGGCTCAGGCAATCCCCTCACCTCAGCCTCCCAAAGGCGCGGGATTACAGGCTGAGCCACCGAGCCCAGCTTGTTTTTTTAATTGCAAAATAATTGTTGTACATATTTATGGGGACACAGTGATGTTTGGATACATATAATGTATAGTAATCAGATCAGGGTAATTAGCATCTTCATGATCTCGAACATTTATCATTTCTTTGTGTTGGGTACATGCACTATTCTCCTTCTAGGTATTTGAAACTATATCTTCTAGGTAATACCTAACTAATGCCTTCTCGATAATTGAACTGCAAGAAAAAAAAAAGCCCAGAATTTTCTTTTAGAGGGTGAATCCTTTGTAGTACAGGCTTCCCCCACTAGATAAGTGTTCTAGGAACCCATCAGCCCAGTGTACCAGCTAGCATTGTTGTGAGAGGCTGTCTTCAGTTTCAGTGAGGTTTTGTTTTGTTTTGTTTTGTTTTTGAGATTCTTTCGGTGCATTTGCCCATTTTATGACAGGTGATTTACGAGCGCACTTGTCCACGCTGGGCTGAGTATTCAGCAGTTTTTGATCAAAAACAGTGTGGCCCCCATTCCCCACCCTCCTTATTCACCCGGCCTTGCCACAAGCAGCTTTTTGTTTGTTTGTTTCCCCGGATGAAAAAAGTCCTCAGAGGGAAATGTTTTGCCAGTGTGGAAGAGGTGAAACAAAAAATGACAGAAGCACTAAAAGGCATCAGCACTGATAAGTTCAAAAACTGTTTTGAGCAGTGGAAAAAGCATCTCAATAGTTGTATCAAACAGAGAGTACTTTGAAGGTAACTGAAGTTTAAACATTAAGAATAAATATATCTTCTTTATAAAGAAATTCTGGGTCTTTGGGGTCCCATATAATAAATAGTGATCAGCCGGGCTCGGTGGCTCAGCCTATAATCCCAGCGCTTTGGGAGGCCGAGGTGAGTGGATTGCCTGAGCCCACAGGTTCGAGATCCGCCTGGACAACTTGGTGAGACCTCATCTCTACAATAAATAAAAAATTGGCCAGGCGTGGTAGCGTGCGCCTGTAGTTCCAGCTACTTGGAAGGCTGAGGCGGAAGGATCGCCGGAGCCCAGCAGGTCGAGGCTGGGAGCGGCCGGGAGCAGCCACTGCACTCCAGTCTGGGCGATAGGGTGAGACTCCAACTCAAAAAATAAAAATAAATAAAAAATAAATAGTGATCAGATCAGAGTAATTAGTACATCCATCATCTTAAATGTTTGTCATTTCTTTGTGTTGAAGGAGACATTCACTCTCCTCCTTCTAGGTATTTGAAACTTTGTATTGTTGTTAAGTCTAGTCATCCCACAGTGGTATAGAACACTAGAACTATTCCTCCTATCTAGCTGTAACTTTGTATCCTGTCACAGATCTCTCCCGTAGGCTTACAGCTTCCGTATTTGATTCTGTGTGGGGGAGGGACCTTGAAGGAGAGAAATCTAATGCCTGGAAGAGTCAGCTGCCCTCATCGATGAGGGGAGGCCGGTCTTGGTCCAGCCATCTTGGTGGTCTCTATGATGGTGCAGGTGATGAGTGCTGCACCCCCACCCCCAGCCTGGCCCAGCTGCTGAGAATCCCCCACTGCCCAGAGCAGTGGTCTCCATCAGAAGATTTTTGCCAAATTTTCCAACTGATTGACAAATTGTTCCTGTATTGTTTGTTTTGTTGTTGTGTTGTTTTGAGACAGGGTCTCGTTCTGCCACCCAGACTGGAATGTAGTGGTTTGTTCATACCTTACCGCAGCCTCAAACAACTGGCCTCAAGCAATCTTCCCACTTTAACCTCCTAAAGCACAGTGATTACAGGCATGAGCCACCACACCTAGCCTCATCGTGTATTGTTTGTTCATTAGATTAAAATTCAAGAGAACAGACTACTCTAGAGCCCTTCCCTTGAAGTTGGTGCCCCTGGACCTCCAAGCATTGGACACCACCCTGCCCTGATACTGCCACCCCCACTGGAGTGGTGGCCCTCTCATTGTGTGCTCCTTAGGACAAAGGAACATCTTTGCTTCCCAGGAAGCATCACCGTCACCTTCAGTGATTCATTCCATGACTGAAAAAGATACTCATCTTTTTATTTTAAATGAGCTTAGTGTTTGCCATGATAAAAATGGCACATACTCTTTATATTATATTTGGAAAATACAGAGAAGGGACAAGCAGAAGATGTTTTTAGATTGTGCACAATCCTTTCCCTCAAGTAACTCATGTCACGATTGTCATATCTTCCTTCTGTGCATGTCATTGTCTGTCACTGTCTAGTCCTGAGGAAGTGAGCTGTTTTCCTCTACAGTTCATTCCAAGCCACCATCTTTAGACAGTGCCATGCTCCTCTTTGGATTTTAGCTTCTATTTTTTTTTTTTTTTTTTTGAGTTGGAGTCTCACTCTGTCGCCCAGACTGGAGTGCAGTGGCCACTCCCGGCCACCGCAGCCTCGACCTGCTGGGCTCCGGCGATCTTTCCACCTCAGCCTTCCAAGTAGCCGGAATTACAGGCATGCGCTACCACGCCTGGCTAGTTTTTTGATTTATTGTAGAGATGAGGTCTCGCTGCCCAGGCGGGTCTTGAACCCACGGACTCAGGCAATCCACTCACCTCGGCCTCCCAAAGGCGCGGGATTATAGGCTGAGCCACCGAGCCCGGCTAGCTTCTTTTTTAAATCTTCTTTTCTTTAGTAAAGAAAGGAATACGTTTCTTGGGAATTTATTTGTAATAGGTGAAAAGGGCAATGACCTTGACAGATGCTCATCTTCCTCCTTCTTCAGAGCAATCCAGAAGACGGTCACAGGACAGGCCGTCGCTTCAGCTTCAGAACAGTGGGTACCATGATCTCTCGGTGCACACTGCTCATAGAAGCATCATACTATGGCCAGGACCAGGGCCCTTGGGGTCTACAGGTCCTCTGTATGAGTCAGACCCCACCAGCACATGTTCTTTGTATGGGTTCAAGTCCTCTGAGTGGGACTTGAATATCACAACTGCGTGTGGATGACGATGTCACCTTTTGATACGGGCTGAGCATCCCTAATCCAAAATCCAGAATTTTTTGAGCACCAAGTGGAAAATTCCACATGAAAGTGCTTAACACAAACTTTGTTTCTGTGCACAAAATTGTTAAAAATGATTTTGTGAAATTACCTTTATACTGTGTGTATGAGGCATATATGAGATATAAATGAATTCTGTGTTCAAACTTGGGTCCCATCCCCAAGATATCTCATTATGTATCGGGCGTGACAAAAAAATGTATAAACATTTTAAGAAATATGATCTGTTTATGACTTTTTGAAGTTGAAATTATAGTAGCAATGTGTAGTATGACGTTCGCGCAAAAGATGGCATTCGTCAAATGAATGCCAGTGTCACCATGCAACAGGCAGGACGGTCAAAGAAGATGGCAGAAGCAGGTTGTTGTTCGAGGAGCTCAAGGCCATTCTGAAGAGGTATTGGAAACTCAAGAACGTTGTGAAAGTACGACGACAATGGAGGTGTGAGTATGCACAGAACCTCCAACACGCCTGACAACTGCATGTATTCGTGATGAGTCTGAGATGCGTGGTCCTGTGTGTGATGTGCACAAGGGAAGACCCGGGAGGCCTCGTGCAGCACCAAGTCCTGCAGTTGTTTGTCATCATCAGAAGTGTCCGGATGCTGATAGGAACCACTGTGAGCCCCTGTTGTCATTGCAGAAGTGAAACGTGACTTGTATTTATCTTTTGTTACTCGAATATAATGAGTATTGCAATTGTAATACCATTTTTTTCCTTTCTTAAAATGTGTACACCTTTTTTGGCAGCCTTTGTATATGCAAATATTCTAAAATCAAAAAAAAAAAAGAATCTGAAATCCAAAACCCTCTGGTCCCAAGCATGTCAGAAAAGGGTCCTCAGACTACTTTTGCTCTGTGAACTGAATGGAGAGTGAAACTACATCTGGCACGCTCACGCACTGGTGATTCCCACCCAGGACCTACAGGCATCTGTGAGAAAAATAGGCACCATGATATGTGTGTGCACGTTGTGCAAACCTGTAAACACACCATCTTCTTTTTATTTCTTTGCAGGAAGTTCAGAAAAAAGTGTCTCTCTTTGGTCTGCAGATGGACATCAGCGGGTTAATTCCTGGTCTGGTGTCTACGTTCTTCCTTCTGTCTCACAGTGATCACCACGGACGAAAACTCCCGATGATCTTCTCTTCTGCCGGCGCCCTGGCCACCAGCGTCTGGCTCTGTCTGCTTTGCTATTTTGCCTTCCCATTTCAGCTTTTGATTGCATCCACCTTCATTGGTGCGTTCTGTGGCAATTACACCATGTTCTGGGGAGCCTGCTTTGCCTATATAGTTGACCAGTGCAGAGACCACAAACAGAAAACGATTCGAATCGCCATCGTTGACTTTCTACTCGGACTTGTTACTGGGCTCACAGGACTGATATCTGGCTATTTTATCAGAGAACTAGGCTTTGTGTGGTCATTTTTTATCATCGCCATGGCTCTCACTGTTAATTTGATCTATATTTTATTTTTTCTCGAAGATCCCATGAAAGAGTCTTCATCTCAGAATGTCACTGTGTCATGCAGTGAAGCCTTTAAAAATCTATTTTACCAGACTTACATGCTTTTTAAAAATGCTTCTGGGAGACAGCGGTCTTTGCTCTGTCTACTACTTTTTACAATGATCACGTATTTTTTCTTGGTAGTTGGGGTTGCCCCCATTTTTATCCTTTATGAACTGGATTCACCTCTCTGCTGGAGTGAAGTTTTTATCGGCTATGGATCAGCCTTAGGGAGTGCCTCTTTTTTTACCAGTTTCCTGGGCATATGGCTTTTTTCTTATTGTATGGAAGATATTCACATGGCCTTCATTGGGATTTTTACCACCATGGTAGGAATGGCTGTGATTGCTTTTGCCAGGACAACACTGATGATGTTTTTAGGTGAGTTCCAAATGTAGCCTTAGAACTAACCATGCTTGATGTTTATGTCAAAGGGATTTCTGTCTGTTGGGAGAGAAACTTTAATACAAAACTCTCTATTTAGCCATTCTAGTGTGATTAAAGGTTATAAAGCTAATTTGCCAGAAGACAATAAGCATAAAGCCAAATTTGCTTGAAAAATTTAATTCACTGGGGCATGGTGCCCCATGCCTGTAATCCCAGTATTTTGGGAGGCTGAAGTGGGAGGATCAGTTGAGCCCAAAAGTTCAAGATCAGCCTGGACAACGTAGCAAGATCCTGCCTCTACACTGAAAAAAAAAAAAAAAAAAAGCCAGGCTCGGTGGCTCAGCCTGTAATCCCACGTTTTGGGAGACTGAGGTGAGTGTATTGCCTGAGCCCGCGGGCTCGAGACCTGCCTGGGCAACTTGGCGAGACCTCATCTCTACAATAAATCAAAAATTAGTCAGGCGTGGTAGCACGCACCCGTAGTTCCAGCTACTTGGAAGGCTGAGACTGAAGGATCGCTGGAGCCCAGCAGGTCCAGGCTGCGGTGGCCGGGAGCGGCCAATGCACTCCAGTCTGGGAGACAGAATGAGACTCCAACTCAAAAAATAAAAATAAAAAATAAAATGAAAAAATTAGCAGGGCATGGTGGCACACCTATAGTCCCAGCTACTAAAGAGGCTGAGGAAAGAGGATCACTTAAGTCCAGGAGTCTGAGACAGCGGTGAGCTATGATTGTGCCTCTGCACTCCAGTCTCAAAAAAAAAAAAAAATTAAATTCACTAAATAACCACAATTTTCCAAAGTTGCATATTTGCCAAAAAATTCCTTTATGAGTCAGTTCTTCCATATAGCTTTCACCCAAATGAGCACTTCTTAAAATGCTTCTAAGGTAACTACTTTCCATAAAAATATTCAGGACAGTGATATAAAGTATTGCTAAAAAGATTTAGAAAAAAATTCATATTCATTGAACATACCCAAGAAGATTACTGAAGACAGGTTTTGCAAATCGCTCTTTCAGCAAGTTGATCATTTCCTGAATTGATTTTGATGAGTTGCTCTTTGGCAAATTGGGCTTTCCCTTAACTACCTGCCTCATAGCCGTTTTGTGGAGTTTAAGTAAGATACTGCTTTGGAGAATGCTGGGAAACTGGAAAGGGGAAACTTGGGAAGGGACTGATTTAAGTTTTTTCTCCAATAGAGGTGTTAATCCCCTGCTACCTTGCAGGGAAGCCATGTGACCAAGCAGATTTGGGCTTGACTTTCATGAATAACACTGGGTGATCTTGGGCAACTTAACTGCTCATTTTCTCATCTGTAAAATGGACATTTAATGAACTGTCAAGCACTTAGCACAGTTGCTACTATTTGGCAAATGCCAGGTTTTCTCTGTCTCCCAACAGGCTGCCAAGGCCAAATAAGATAATATGTGTGAAACACTTTGAAAACTTGAAAGTGAGCTGCAGATGTAATATATTACTATTTTATGATCTAATTAAAAAACACTACTGACTATTAAGGATCATAATTTAAGACCAGAGGCAATTTGTGTTCATGAAGTTATTCAGCTGCAAAGAACAAGAAAGACAGTAACTAGTTTGCTGGCTGGGCATGGCAGCTCATGCTTATAATCCTACCACTTTGGGAGGCAGAGGTGGGACGACTGGTTGAGCCTGGGAGTTCAAGACCCACCTGGGCATCATAGCAAGACCCCATCTCTATTTAAAAAAAAAACAAAAACAAAAGCAAGAACCAGTTTACCAATAAATGAATCAGTATAATAAAGCAATGCCAACACTAAGAATGCTAAGTCCAAAAAAGCAAAAACAAATAAAAACTAACTAGCAGTCACAATTTGCTAAATAAGAGGTTACTAGGTAATTAAGAATATAGGCAGATCAGTCTTAATTGGTGGATTATATCAATCTGGACTTTACACGAATTTTTGTTCTTGGTCCTGAAATAAGAATTCGAAAATAAAGCAGCCTTAAACTGACCTGGCCATAGCCTATTTTAATTCATTCCACAGAGTTTTACGCTATTAATTAATTCAATCTGTAGATGAACTAAGCAATTCACTCTAGATGCATGAGTTAGGAAGTTCATGTTTAGATGGGGTGAAAGTGTTTTCCATCTTATATCACCTCTTTCCAACTGAGCCAGTGATTTCCAGTGGTTTCTTTCCCAGCCAGGGTGCCGTTCCTGTTCACCATCATGCCACTGTCTGTTCTGCGGTCCATGTTGTCAAAAGCGGTTCGTTCTACTGAGCAAGGTGAGTTTGAATACACAATCTGTACCATCTCAGATCTGTGTGGGATCAATGCTTGATGCTTCAGAATGTTCTACTGCCCTTTTTCTGCATGGATCTCCTTTGAACGAAGAGGTAAACTCAGTAAGGAAGAGGTTTGTGCTTGGGCGAGGGAGACCTTGCCTGGGGCCTCATGCTTTTGGGGGCTCATACAGCCCATCTCTGGCCGTGCCCTGCCCCATGAGGAGAGGAGACCTCTAGGCCGAGCAGATCTGCCCCCCAGGAACCCATAGTGCCTCCTCCCTGTCTAGACCACATTATTAGGGTCCCCGTAATTCCCAGCCCAGACAGCTCTAGGTCCTGTCCAGTGGGTACCTGGATGGTCCTCAGCCCCTGTCCCTGAGGGTGGACTGTGTCCAGCGTACCCACTTCCAGACCAAAGGGGGAGCCAAGCAGTGACTCTTTATAGAGGGTCTGGCCAGCCCCTGGAATTGCAGGTGATGGGGTGTAACTGACCTTTTTTTATTAGAACAAGAGGTGGAGCTAGGCAGTGAATTGCCTGAGCCCGCAATTTCGAGACCCACCGGGGCAACTTGGTGAGACCTTATCTCTACAATAAATAATAATAAAAAAAAATTAGCTGGGCATGGTAGGTGCACCTGTAGTTCCAGCTACTTGGAAGGCTGAGGCGGAAGGATCGCCAGAGCCCAGCAGGTCAAGGCTGCGGTGGCCGGGAGCATGCCACTGCACTCCAGTCTGGGTGACAGAGTGAAACTCCAACTCAAAAAAAAAAAAAAGAACAAGAGGTAGAACAGAATGAGGGTGGGCTCTGGGCTGGTGCCTGCAGGCCAAGGGCCAGCCTGCTCAGGGTTATGCTCCTTCATGGAACTCTGAAAAAGGCTTGAGAGTTCTGAGTTTGTGCCTGGCCTTCCAGATTATTACAAAGGAATATTTTTCACAGTAGGGAGACAGAACATACTATAGTTAACAGTTTGTTAGCTGGGTGTGGTGGCTCACACCTGAAATCTCAACACTGGGAGACTAAGGTGGGAGGATCTTTGAGGCCAAGAGTTTTCAAGACCAGCCTGGGCAACACAGTGAGACTCCCATCTCTACTTTAAAAATTAGCCAGGTGTGGTGGTGTGTGCTTGTAGTGCCAGCTACTTGGGAGGCTGAGGTGGAAGGGTCACTTGAGCCCAGGAGGTTGAGGCTGTGGTGAGCTATGATTGCACCACTATACTCCAGCTTGAGCAACAGAGCAAGACTCTGTCTCAAAAACAAACAAACAAAAAATAATTTGTTAGCCAGACTTATAACTTACAACCTTTAAACACTTAAAATAGAACATATAGGCCTCTAATGATATTCTTACTCTGGGCCCCCCGAGATGGGAATATAGTGAGACCTCATGTCTACAAAAAAAATTAAAAAATTAGCCAGGTGTGGTGGCACACACTTATAGTCCCAGCTACTCAGGAGGCTGGGGCAGAGAGATCAATTGAGCCCAGGAGACTAAGGTTCTAGTGAGCCATGATTGTGCCAAAGCACTCTAGCCTGGATGACAGAGCCAGACCCTGACTCAAAAATAATAATAATAAAAATGACCATTTTGGGGTCAAAGTATTATGCACTCTAAAATCACCAGAGGAGAGGGAAATTCCACCGAGGTTTCAGAAGCCTCTCATGATCTGTATCATCTTATATAAGAAAAGTGAGAAAATGAGATTTGGGTCGTTCTTTGGAAATCTCTGTGCTCTACACTGCTATGAACTCAGCTAAAACCACTTTGAACTCCCTATCTTACCTGGGAATCACCCTGTGTTCCTTGTGATTATAAACTGGAATACAAGCCGGGCTCGGTGGCTCAGCCTGTAATCCTGTACTTTGGGAGGCCAAGGTGAGTGAATTGCCTGAGCCCGCGGGTTAGAGACCCGCCTGGGCAACTTGGTGAGACCTCATCTCTACTATAAATCAAAAACATTAGCTGGGCATGGTAGTACGCACCTGTAGTTCCAGCTACTTGGAAGGCTGAGGCGGAAGGATTGCCGGAACCCAGCAGTTCGAGGCTGCGGTGGCCAGGAGCATGCCACTGCACTCCAGTCTGGGTGGCAGAGTGAGACTTCAACTCAGAAAGTAAATAAATAAATAAATAAATTGAAATACAGTAAAATAGACTTGATTTTTGAAGTCTGTTGAATTAAAAGACAAAGTTTAGAAAATAAACTCCACTGCATATATCATTTCATTTCATCCTGTTTGTTTCTGGCAACTACCAAGCAAGTTGGCTTGCTCAGAGGAGTCCAGCTGCAAACCAAAGCGACTTGATAACAGTATGGCTCTGTGGGAACAGATGGAGCATGGGCTGACCTACTTCCCACCAAGAATGGATTAAAGCCCTTACGTAATAGGACCAGGACTGGGCGGGCAGTCTCCTCCACAACACATTCCTGGCTGTAGCAAGAGATCAGAAGTAAAAGAAAATAATGTAGTTAGACAGGTAGGAGAACTTCCTTCCAATTAAACTGACTGAATGTATTATCATAAATCATGGAGGCAGTAAGTCTGTCTGCATGCTGCTTGATGACTGAATTAGGCTTTTATTCATTCACTCAATATCTATTAAATATCTGCCACACACCAACCAGGACAGCTGGGCACTGGGGACATAGCAGCAAGCGAGGGCGAGGTGCACTTGGCATTGACAGAGTTTATTTTAGTTCACAGAAGACAAATAAATGACTCCCCGACATTTTGCAGAGATAGATTTATGTTTTATGAATGTCTTGTTATTCACTGAAGAATTGGAGGCAATTATGAGAATATGTGTAATAGAATGGGACGGTATCAATAGATGAAATCCTACACAGTCTAAAAGGTTAAGACCATGGGGGAAATTAGGATACAGACAGGTGAACCCTCTCATGTGGTTTTTCCTTCTCTCAGTCCAAGCAAACAATTATTTACATGATTTGTCAATAAGAAAAGCACTGCAACTATCATGGAAAAGTGAAGTTGGCAAATCAGAAGTGAGAACAATGGCCTCAGGTAGAGTTTGCAGGAAGCAAAAACTGTGTACACAGGAACTTAGACCATGAAAGTCATGCAAATTGGACTGGGACTGGTCACAACGTTTTGCAAAATTTGACAAAGAAGAAGAAAAGTACATTAAGATGGTTGACATCAAGACGGCTGGCCTGCTTTCTGGAAGTTTAACTCTTCAGTTGATGTGATCTTGTGTTCCAGACAAAGCTAAAAATTAATAGAATGTTCATTTCTTTGTGATTGTGAGCTTGGACTGACCATGCAGTCTTTCCATGCTTCCCGAACAATGCCAAGTGACCTGCCTCATCAAGGTCGGCGTGTGGCAAGGGCGACCACAGCAGAATCCCACTCTGCTCCATCCTGTGAGGGACATCCCCTCAGAGCAGAGGCAGCTGCAAGCCCATAATACAACAAAATGTTTTGAAGACTCACTTTGCCAGGCATGGTGACCTGTAATCCCAACACTTTGGGAGGCTGAGGCAAGAGGATTCCTTGAGCCCAGGAGTTTGAGATCACTGTAGGCAACAAAACAAGACCTTGTCTCTACAAAAAATTGAAAAAATTAGGTGGGTGTGGTATGTGCCTATTAGTCCCAGCTACTCAAGAGGCTGAGGCAGAAGGATCATCTGAGCCTAGGAGGTCAAGGCTGTGGTGAGCCATAAGCATGCCACTGCACTTTAGCCTGGGCAATAGAATGAGACTTTGGCTCAAAAAAAAAAAAAGGCCCACTTTACATCACACTGTGCAATAAACCTTCACCAGGGTACAGGGTGGTTGACTAAATGAGTCAAACATGCAGGGATCTAATGGTGACTAGACTTTTGGTCACTTTGGAGGGAAGGATGAAATTCAAATTGCAGAATGTATGATGAGGATGTCGTCTCTCTCTCTGCCATCAGCTGTCACTCTTGCCGGGATCAGGAAGCAGATGAAAAGGATTTCTTTATCTTTCAAAAGGCCCTAGGGGGAGCACTGCTTGTTGGAAGCTGTCCTGCCCATAACATGTCACAGACTAGCAGGGGATGGAGGGTGAGACCACATCCTCAACAACCAGGGTATGAGCAGCTTTGCCAGAGGCCGTGGGAGGGAGGAGAGACACTACTGTTTTCAAATGAGTCAGCTACCATCACCGTTTTAGCTTTTCCTGTGGACACTGGAACTCAAGTATTTCAGTATCTCTCATGAGTCAAGCCCAAGGAGAACTCTTTGCCTTAGTTTCTGTATCTGTGAAATGGGTTGCTGACTTCTCAGGGATTTTGAGGGAACAACTTTCCTTTACCAAGCAGTGCCCCCATGTTGCTGTTTTCAGTGAAGAGCAATTTTATTTATTCTCTTTGTTTGCTGTTTTGTAATCCAGCCTTTTCTTACTTTCCCTCCACACCCCTGTCCAACAGGTACTCTGTGCGCATGCATTGCTGTCCTAGAAACACTTGGGGGAGTCATTGCAGTGTCTACTTTCAATGGAATCTACTCAGCCACTGTCGCCTGGTACCCTGGCTTCACCTTCCTGCTGTCTGCTGGTCTATTACTAATTCCAATGATCAGTCTGTGGTATGCAAGTTATTTTTTAACCATTTTATCAAAGGACATCTGGATTAGGTGAATTCCTTAACCTCAGCAGTTAAAAAAAATTATGTCTGTTGAAATTTTGCCTCAGAATGTGCTTTTCTCAAGAACTGACAGACAGTTCGTAGCACATATACCAAAATGGAAACCATGCAGTAAGGATTAGTTTGGACTATGAGCAAGGATGATGTGCAGATTCATGAATTGTTCCAGATTTTTAAGAAATAAGAATTAAAGGGAAAAAAAGAGAGAGAGAGAGCTGGGCACAGTGGTGTGCTTCTGTAGTCCCAGCCACTCAGGTGGCTGAGGCAAGAGGATTGCTTTGAGTCCAGTAGTTCAAGGCCAGCCTGTACAAGACCCTCATTTCATTTAAATTAACTAATTAACTAGCTAATTAACTTAATAGGCATGATGACATCTGCCAATAATTTCAGAGACTTAGGAAGAAAGAGACAGTGACGTGACTGACCAGAACTAGGAGAAAGAAAGATGGGGTTAGAGACCCTGAGAAGTTATGCACCTCCCCCGCTTAAACAATTGAATAAATTAGCATCTAAGATTAGGGATGTGCACAGTCAAACTCTGATTCCCAGAGTACACTATCTCCTCCCATGTTGGCCAAAGACTGAGGTCATGAGATTGACTTTTCTATGGATTCTTGAATAAATGACAAAAGTAGGTAGAAGGTGCTGAATATTAAGAGCACTCTTTCCAGAAAGTTAGCTTGTTTCATGACTCTGTTTTTAAATGTAAATATTCAAATAAAACAAGAGTATACAATTCTACTTAGGAATAGTCTATGCAATAGATAGATCAGAGGCAGACATATAAGAGAAATATTTATTTCTCTGCCTTCCCTTTAACAAAAAGTGTGAGCCAACTAGATGAATGATCACTAAAATGCCCAAATATACAGAGGGCGCCAAAACAATGCAGACACATTGTAAGGAAGGAAAAGACTGCATTCAAGTTGTAATACTCATATACACCAATAACAAAAGATGAATACTAGTCACATTTGACTTCTGCAGTGACAAGAGGTGCTCACAGTGGTTACCATCCATGTCCAGACACTTCTGATGATGCCAAACTAAAAATAATACATAGATAAGATCGCTTAAAATGTGTATGCATTTTGGGGGCACCCTTAGTATTATTTGACACATTCTGTGGGGCCAAAGCATTGGGCTAAGAGCTCGTTAATCTGTCTATGCTAAGCTCTATCTGTTCCACGTGGCTGATGGCACAGCATGGTGATGGGAGCCAAGGGCCGAAGAGGCCACAAGGAGCCAGGCCTTCTGTGCTTTCTCCTGAGCACTGGGGACTGAGGCTCTGGGTGAGGGAGCACAGTCCCCCCCACGCAGATTTAAAGCATTCTGACAAGATGGCGAACTCCTTAGAGGACCAGCTCAAGTCTTATTCATAGTAGGAGCTCAATAATGATTGTCTAAATTGAATTCTGACACCTAGATCTGTGTTGGACAGAGTGCAGTGGTATTTACAGTTCCTCTAATTTTGATGAAAAGTTATTTTGACTGTCTTTTTTTAAGAGGAGACCATGTACCTATTGAATTAACAAAATTTCAAATATATAGTGTGTTAGTGAGCACAGGATAAGATAATCGGTCTTATATGCTGTTAATAGTAGTATTATTTTTATTCAGCTCTATCAGAAAGCAGTTCATGAACATGTATCAACGTTTTTTAAAAATATATATCGTGATTGATCTAGCAATTCCTTTTAGAAACCTACTGTAAGGAAATAATCAGTAATGTCAAAAATTGATATATAAAAAAGTTCGGCCAGGCATGGTGGCTCACGCCTATAATCCCAGCACTTTGGGAGGTAGAGGCTGGAGGATCACTTGAGGCCAGGAGTTTGAGACCAGTCTGGCAACGTAGTAAGACCCTGTCTCTACACAAAAATAAAAAATAGACTGGATATAGTGGTGTACAACCTACAGTCTCAGCTATTTGGCAGAGGCAGGAGGATTACTTGAGCTCACAAGTTTGAGATTGCAGTGAACTATGATTGTACCACTGCACTCTAGCCTGGGCAACAAAGTGAGAAGAGAGAAAGAGATAGAGAAGAAGAAGAGGAGAGGAGAGGAGGAGGGAGGGAAGAAGGAAGGAAGGAAAGGAAAGAGTTTATTATAGGAAAAATTTGAAATGACCAATCTGTCCAACAATAGGAGAATGTTTAAACAAGTAACAGTACAATGCCTTCCCTAATAAGAATTTATACACAGGGAGTAGAATAATGGGTAATTAAATTTTATTCTTTATATATATATAATGTTGCAACAGATGGATAAAGGTAGTTATCCTTTTAATAATCAGGTAACTGGCTGGGCACAGTGACTCAAGCCTGTAATCCCAGCATTTTGGGAAGCTGAAGCAAGAGCATTGACTGAGCCCGCAGGTTCGACCTCAGCAAGACCTCATCTCTACAATAAATAAAAAAATTAGCTGGGTGTGGTAGCACATGCCTGTAGTTCTGGCTACTTGGAAGGCTGAGGCAGAAGGATTGTCAGAGCCCAGTAGGTCGACGTGGGGGTGGTTGTGAACGTGCTACTACACTCCAGCCTAGGCAACAGAGTGAGACTCCAACTCGAAAAAAAAAAATCTCAAGAACCTGTCTTCAGTTATTGATTTATTATAGAGATGAGGTCTCACCAAGTTGCCTAGGCTGTTCTCGAACCTGTGGGCTCATGCAGTCCTCTCACTGTGGCCTCCCAAAGTGCTGGGATTACAGGCTTGAGCCACCATGCCCAACTCTGAGATATTTTTTAACCCTAGACTGCTCAATATTTTAAAAATCAAGATAGCACGCTGTTTTACTTCCCAGGGAATTCAAGTGTCTTGCTTTAGTTACAGCTATTGCATAGGAACTACAGTCGTAGCCCCAGATGCAACTGTTTTATGTGCACTACACAGACCAGACAGTGAAACAGTTGGGCCATCCCAGGGTCAAGATGGAAAAAAGCTCAGGTGTTTTTATATTATTTTCAGAACACGACACACAGTGAGTCTGTTGAATTTGAATGCTGGGATGCTCCTTCTGTGCATAAACTTTATCAAAAGCTGTGTGACCAGGGAAGGGACGGATACAGATGACTTGCCCATGTGTGGTCTTCATCTCAATACTCTGGTGTCTTGTTTGCCTTTGCAGTGTTGTCAAGTGTACCAGCTGGAATGAGGGCAGCTATGGCCTTCTCATCCAGGAAGAACCCGTTGAAGAGGCTTCAGACAGATGATTAAAGAACCCTAAATGCGCACAGCACACTGTGATCTCTGAAGACTGTAAATCAGCCCCACCACCAGCACGTTATTCATAATCAATGTTACACACCCCATCTTCCAAACTGAACAGTCAGAGACAAAACTCCTGGCTTCCGCCTCCAAAGGCACCATGCACTTTGAGGACTGTGAATATCACGAGCTATGTGTCCAGAACCAATCTCAATGCTTCTCACTTTTGGACTTAGGAAAAAAACTAAAACCGAGGAATGTAAGGAGAGATTAAGAAACTTGATAAAGTCAAAAGAAATCATCTCTCTGATATGCTCCCATTCCCTGCTGAGACCAAGGAGAACGCTTTACCTCAGTTCATCTGCAAAATGGGCTTCCGACCACTCTCAGGGACTTTTTTGAAGGCATAATAAAAATAAATCACTTGCTAATTGGAAAATAAGAAGCTTCAGATAGCTATACTATAATTTTACCTCTACTTGGGTGATGCTTTCTTTTCTAGAGCCCACTAAGGTACAATAAATAGAGCTTTTCAAGGATGAAAATCCTTAATAGAGAGGCACTTTAAAGAATATGTATTTTTCACTTAATATATTTCATCACTGACAGGCATGATAATATTTCTCTAGGTAACACGGATGGATATCTGAAAAACATAAGCGTATAAAGTTATTCTAAAGCAATTTAACAATTGAGGAAGCAGCTGATCCCAGGATGAAATGACTGCTACTGTAGTGCCAATGTCCCTTCCTGAGTCAGCAAGACAACTGCCACATTCCATCTCCCCCCCTGGGAATTCTACCTCTGACTTCTTACCCAGCTCGCGTTCATCTCCCCCCCCCCCCCCCCCGCCCCCACTGTGCTGAGAAGGGCGTTTCTCAAACACAGGTCATGTACCCTTCAAGTCTGAGTCCCTCAGCAGCTGTCACTGACAGGAAAACGATCACACAAGCAAGTTAGCCATGATTTCCCCCTCCCCATCTCGTTTCATACTGTCTTGCTCTCATCCAGCTTTTGTTTTTTTTTTTTTATAGAGACGGGGTCTCGCTGTGTTGCCAGGCTGGTCTCAAATTCCTGGCCTCAAGCAATCCTCCTGCCTCAGCCTTCCAAAGGGCTGGGATTACAAGTGTGAGCCCCTGCACCCGCCCCCTTCATATCTTTTTACACACTGTTGCACTTGCCCTTCCTCCAACAATACATTGTTGAGACTGAAACTTTCAAGTCTCAGCCGAAACAGTAACCAGCCCTCTTGCCACGCCCCCTCCATCCCTACAGGAACTCCCCAGCTCTCTGTGTATACTTCCATCTCAGCATTTTCCATTGTCTTGTCATTGTTTCTGCTCCTTGATAATCATCACCTGAGTACAAGGACAATCTTTGATTAGTCATCATATCCTCAATAAAAATTTATTGAACTAAATGACTACAAAATTTCATTTCACTTGTAAAAAAAATGGAAAACTATATATTTAACGCCTTATGAGAGTAACCACTGATATCCTGCCATAGTCATTAAGCCAGCCTTGTAAATCAATTGGAAACTATGCTAGCCCATACACTTTGAAAACTGATTTCCAGCATTTCCATAGGTCCTCAATATCTCCCATTTTCTAAGTCGCATAGGTAATCATGCAAATGCTTTGAAGTGCAACTAGATGGTTAATTTCATTGTAATCTCTTGAAGGCACGTACAGTCTTCTGTCTGATAGTATTGCTTAGGGCCTTTTTTCTGTAAGGAAATGAATGATTGTTTGACCAGCGAATAGCAATCATAATATACTAGGAATTCTTATTTCCAAAATCATTCCTTTTAGGTTTAACCAATGTCTTCTTGGGGCCCGCGTGAGAGCTGAGTGATTTACAGATTGACTCATTTTGTTTTCCTTCCTATTTCGATGTTCTTCCCAAATGAAAAGAAAAAGCACATTATAGTTTACAAAGTGCTTTCTCTATTAACTTGTTTTATCCTCTTATTAACCCTGTAAAGTATATCTTCATGTTCTCATTTTGCAGATGAGGAAGGTAAGCCTCAGAGTTGGCTTGATCATGGTTTCTCAGCTACTACCATGCAATAATATCACACAAGGAGGAGCTTGACACTACTGAGTTCTTCATAGCAGGGATTTGTGGTTACAGATTATAAACCCCAAAGCAGCCAGGCAAGGTGGCTCATGCCTGTAATCCCAGCACTTTGGGAGGCAGAGGCGAGAGGACTGCCTGAGCCCAGGGGCTCAAGACCAGCCTGGGCAACTTGGCAAGACCTCCTCTCTACAATAAATCAAAAAATTAGCTGGGCATGGTGGTGCGCACCTGTAGTCCCAGCTACTTAGAAGACTGAGGTGGAAGGAGTGCCTGAGCCCAGCAGGTCGAGGCTGTGGTGGCCGTGAGCATGCCACTGCACTCCAGCTTGGGTGACAGAATAAGACTGACTCAAAAATAAAAATAAGAAATAAACCCCAAAGTAAGTGGGGTGCATCATAAAGTGCTCACCAAAACCACATTAGCACAACCTATACCCAACCAAACTGCCTACAATTAGTGTCTTTTTTGATGTTAGACAAGATGTCCATAAAGTTCCTTCCAGCTTAACATTCCATGATTTTTATACATTTCATCTGAACTGAATAGGGCCCAGATGGTATTGTTTAATACAGCTGAAGGGTGAACAGATGGTTTCTCGGTTAAGTAAAAGCTCAATTTGAGATGTAGTTAAGTGTGTCAGGGATTAGACTGAGGTGGCCCAGGGCCAAAATAGAGCATGAATGACTTAGTTATCTCCAAAGTGTGTATCCTAAGAGACAATGAGTAAACGTGACGCTGCAGAGACTAGGGAAACATGCCGATGGGATGGGGGGATGTATACACTCAAGATGGAAACACAAAAGAAAAAGAAAAAGAAAAGAAAGCTGTCATCTAATCTCCCAAAATGCAACCTGATTATAAGAAGGAAGACTATTGATGGAAGGACCGGTGTCTAAGGAGCTCAGATAAAGGGAAACCGAAGAGGAAAAGCATGTTCTGTTTTATTCAGCAGGATACAAAGGGGGTTGGAGAGACCACATCTACCAGAAATGAATACTTCCATCCTTAGAAAGGTGTGCTTCTAGTTATACCTCCATGAGGCTATGCTCTTCAGTGGAATCGCCCATAGCCTGCACTGCACAGTTCCAAACCCTCCCAATCCCTTTTCTCCATTCCTGTACTCACTAAGTAATCCTCTGAGTACTCATTCAATGTCCAAAAATCCTGACACTAAGAATAGAGTGTCCTGGGTTCAGCTTTCTTGTCAAGAAATGTCTGTGTATCCGAATCCCCTGAGAACTTAAACAATAAAAATCCTGGGGCTCGTGCCCTGAAGATTCTGATTCAGCAGGTCTGCAGTGAGGTCTTGAATCTATTGTAGAAACCTCCCTGGGTGATTGACACATATGCAGATCTGGAAACCACTGCCCTGAATGAGTGCTTCTCAACCCTAGACGCACACTAGACTCATCAGTGCAGGTGGGGGGAGGTGGGAGATCGGGGCTTAGCAATAAAATAAAAACAGACACCAAGGCTTCCTCTAGGCCAGGAGTTCCCAAACTGCCAAGTCAAATCACCTGGGGAGCTTTAAGACTTCCAATGCCCTTGCCTCAGCCTAACCCCCATTAAACCAGAATTTCTGGAATTAAGATCCAGGTGGCATTTTTTTCAACGTTCTCCAGGCTATTCCAATAAGTGACCAGAGTTGACAATCACTATTCTTGGTCAGGGATCAGCAAACTTTCTCTGTAAAGGGTCATAGAGTAAGTATTTTAGGCTTTGTGGATTATACAGACTGTCACACTACTTACCTCTGTCTTTGTAGCACAAAGCAACTGAAGACCACACATAAATAAATGGGTACAGCTGTGCACCAATAAAACTTTATTTACAAAACAAGCAACAAGCTGTATTTGGCCCATGGACAGTTTACCCAATCCCTTCTCTGGGTGAAGAACACACACATTCTGGTTACCGGAAAGGTATTGTCTTTCATTGTAAATATTGGCACTTTAGGCTATAGAATGAATAAAATAGTGTGTACATAAAACTCTTGGCATAGTGCCTAGCTCCGTTGGGACTCAAAAATCGGTCTCATTTCATTAGCTTGCAACAAACATTTATTTCTTAAATGTTTGACAGTAAAACCATTGGGACCAGGCCCTATCTTCATCACACTCTAACTATGCATCATTTCCAAGAAAGCAGCCCGTGAGCAATGGTTCCACAAAGGTCAACAAAAACACAACAAAATATTAACAACTCAAGCAATACATGAAACTTCCTTTTCAATGCAACCGGAATCAAGTGCGCACCACCACACCTGGCTAATGTTTTTGATGTATTGTAGAGATGAGGTCTTGCCAAGTTGCCCAGGTTGGTCTCGAACCCCTAGCTCAGGCAACCCTCTAGCCTCTGCCTCGCAAAGTGCTGGGATTACAGGTGTGAGCTACCATGCCTTCTCCCCTCCCCCAAAAGCATCTTTTTCAATAGCTTACAGCTAATGCTACTTACGGTAAAAGGCCTTGCTGTCTTCTCATGAACACTGGGAACAAGGCTAGGATATCTAGTCTCACAACTCCTATTCAACACCATACTGAAAATTCTAGCCAAAAGACAAGAGAAAAAGATAAAAGGAACACAAAGTGGGAGGAAAAAAGTAAAACCGTTTATCTGTATGTAATATAACATATAAAACTCTAAAGAAACTTCCATTAAGAAAAAGAAACTGGCTGGGCGCAGAGGCTCACAAGCCAGGCATGGTGGCTCATGCCCATAATCCCAGCACTTCAGGAGGCCAGGGCAAGAGGATAGCTGAGCCCAGAGATTGAAGACCAGCCTGGGCAACTTGGCGAGACCTTGTCTCTACAATAAATCAAAAAAATTAGCCAGGAGTGGTAGTAGGTACCTGTGGAAGGCTGAGCCAGAAAGACCACCTGAGCCCAGCAGGTCGAGACTGTGGCTATGAGCGTGCCACTGCACTCCAGCCTGGGCGACAGAGTGAGACTCCAACTCAAAAAAAAAAACACAAACAAACTTCTAGAACTAATACATGAATTTAGCAAGGTTGTAGATTACAAAGGCAATATACAAGCATTGATTGTTTTCCTAGTAACAAGCAATGGAAAAAAAGTTAAAACAAATCATGTAAAAATTGCATCAATAGATATAAAATATCTAGGGATAAACTTAACCAAATATGTGCAAGATCTGTACACTGAAATCTATAAAACATTACTGAGAGAAATTAAAGCAGACCTAAATAAATGGAAAGAAATATCATGGTCATTGATTACAAGACTCAACATTAAGATATCAAAGTTAATATAAAACATACCAGAAAATCTTCATAACCTTGGATTATGCAAAGACTTTAGATAGGACCCCAAAGGCATAAAACACATATACACAAAGAGA